AGAGAACGAAAATCCTAGGAACTTATGGGAGTTAGTTGTTCATCTTGAGACCGAGAGGAGATAGATAACAATTAATATCTACGATTTGACTTGTTCGAGAGAAAGGTTTGAAATCAATTTAGCGATTATCTCTACGATTGGTAAAATTAAATAAGGTTTGTTTGAATATAAACGTTTCATGAATTAATTCCGAGGAACGCTTAGCCTAGAATCTACCTTTTGTTTCTTTATTTATTTTTATTTATTTAGATAAATTAGTTTTTAGTTTAATTCTTAGTTTATATTCATCATTCAATTCACTAGTCTAAATAATATTTAATCGTCGTTATTTTAGTACTTAATTAATTTAACTACAATCTCTGTGGAATACGACCTTGCTCGCCACTACCTATAGCTACGCCGTACACTTGCGGATAGCGAAAATAATTAGCGAACATTTATATATTTTTTAAATATGTAAGAAAATATAAAAACTAAATAAGTGAAATAAAAACAAATCATATATTATATATAGAAGTATCATTTTATTTTATAATAAATAAATTTAATTTAATTTAATTTATTATTTTATTATAATTAATTTTATTTTATTTTGTTTATATATATTATGTTACTACATTAATAAAAAAACATATATTTATATTTATATTTATTTTTTTATTTTATTTAAATTAAATTATCATTAATTTTTATATTAAATAGTAATATATTCATTTATTATTTTCAAAGTTCACATATAATACAATTTTTTATTATTTTATTTCAATTAAATTTTATTATAATGATTTAGTTTGTGATTATATTATTTTTTATTTTTGTTTGATTAAGTTTTCCTCTTGTTCCTGTTGCTTTAAATAAATGTGTGTTAATTTTGTACAATATAATGATAGTGGCACAGTGGTTTAAAGTTTTGGCTAGTGATGTTTTGATCCAAGTTCGAATCCTATGAGGAGCAGCCAAGCATCAATTTTTGCCCAACAAGTAAGGGGAAAAATAGTAAATTTCAATTTTAAAATAAAAAATATATGAAAAAATTGAATAATTGCCGCATTACATGAATGTGTGCTGCACGCGCTGTGAAGTTGGACAGAGAGGGGGGATTCGTGCAAAAGTTAGTTAATACGAGGAGGTCTGACGCTACCAGGGAAAAACGCGCAGATTTCATATAATACAGGAGGATTTGGTGCAATAAACCCGTTTATTTTATATATAGCCTAAGGCAAGAGAACTATAGTAGTCCGATTCCTATTCAAATTAAAATTTCACATGAAGTAAATAAAGATAATAATTTTGTAAGAAGGTGAACATAAAAGTTTCCGTATCCTTTGTCATTTATTATTATTATTATTATTATTATTATTATTATTATCATTATCATTATTATTATTATTATTATTATTATTATTATTATTATTATTTAGAATATATAAAATTGAATGTGCCAGACAAATAAAAAGTCTATCACTAATCCAAATCAATTACGTTTTATATAACATTAAATGTAGGGCTGACATTTTTTAACCGAAAACTGAAAACCGAACTGATGAGAAAATAAACCGAATCGTACCGAACCGCTTGTAACGGTATCTGACTATCGGTTACCGAATCACTATCGGTACGGTATCGGTTTGAACCCATAAGAGTTCGGTAAAACCGATACCGAACTGATAAGGGTAAAAAAAAATAAAACAAAGATTTTTTTTTTTTTAATATTAAAACAATGATTAGTTGTTTAGTGTTCAAAATTTGAAATAAGGGCTCAATCCTACATACATCTCAAAGTGACGAGAAAAATGTCATTACTCATCGCCTCATTCACCTTCTAATCGGAACATTGTTGGTTTACCAGTCTCACGTCTTCTAAAGAAGATGCATGCTACCGTTACTGTAGTCTATTCTCGTACCACCATTATTAGATAAGTTAGTTGAAGTTGTATCATAAATTTTATTTCTTGCATGTTAGGAATATATTGTTTTATTAGTTGCGTTTACCACAAAAATCATAATCTAATAATATATAAACTAACTTCTATACATTAAATTTAAGCTTTTTAATCCTTCAATGGATTTGTGAATCTTTTGTGTGTATTTAATTGGTAAGAAGTGAAAAAAATTATAAAAATGACGAAAAAAGTAAACACTAGCAATTTTTTTTTTTTTTGTGCTCAAAATCGGTTCGGTTTTTTGGATACAAAACTGATACCGAACTGATTAAAGTCGATTAAATATATTTTTTTTCAATTCTATCCCCAAACTTTATTGCAAGAAGTATGACACTGCCGGAGTTCCGTTGGCGAAAAACCTATCAACTACTAATCAAAGTCACCTGGATCATAAAATTGCAGTGTGACACGTTTAATAAATTAACTTTCAAACTTAAAACAATTCCGTTTTAGTCTAGGTGGTTACGATACTCGGCTCTCACCCGAGAGACCCGGGTTCAAGTCCCGGCAAATGAAATTTATTTTTCGTATTTGTTTCATATGTTCTGTGTTTTTTAAATATATATTTTTACATTTTAAATATTGGTGACGGGGTTGGATTCCTAAATAATATTACATTTTAATATAGTTTTAAAACTCGGAAGGTGATTGACTTGGACTGGACTCTGGGTCACTGAATCAATTTTTTATCCGGGTAATTAATTTTATAAAATTCAAAATTATATTTATATTTTTTTATCTCATGATTATAAATTATATTCAAATTAAATTATTTATATGTAAATTTATAAGCCAAAGTCTTAATAATATTGCATTTTTATCATAAATAAATATACATGTATACATAATTTTATTTTTAAAAATAAAAAGGTTAAAAAAACAAAACAAAAAATATAATAGTCGGGTCAAGCCAAATTGACCTTACTCGGGTCAACCAAGTCAATGTCCCTTGCACCCAATTTGAACAATCGATTCGGATCAGTCCCAATTAATTTGTGGGATTATATTGAAGCACAACATGACGATACGATAGTTTCCCCTTGCACAACACAACCGGTCTATAATACATGCCAGAAGCATGATATTATGTCACACAACTAGCGTGAGACCAAAAACGTCCCAAAATTTCTTTTCATCCTTCAACATAAAGCGCAATTAATTAACTTAATTAATACTCATAGTCAAAATTGCATATAACAACAACAATTCCAGGATTATGGCATTTAACTTGTAAAGATTTTTGCTTGGGAGTATTTCACTTTCAGATTCGACATACCATAACATGGTGAGTTCAAAAGTAGGTCCAGTGGGACCCACACCACCGAACCGCGCAGTAATTGTGTTGGTGGTCTTGCTGGTGACGGTGGAGGGAGGATTGTCCGGTGCCTCACCACCTACAAGACCGCCACAGTCTTGGCCGGAAGAGGTGGTTGGACGGTGGCCGGAGGCGGCGGCTCGGCCCGTGATGGAGGCGGACTACGGGATATGGAGTCCCACGCCCTACTTTGGCGGCGGAGGGGATGGAGCCCCAATTCCTCACGCAAAATTTGTCTGATGCTGATTTACCATCTTACCCCTCGTGTTGAATTTGCTCATTTAAGTCTACTATTTTTGGCTTATGCATACTTTGTTTTTGTGGTATAAATAATGTTATAGTTGGCTCTTTATGTTATTTATTACTAGCTGCCTACTTAAATTTGCTACTGAAAGAATTAATACTGATGATGGCCAAAATTCTTGTGACAGCATTGTCCACGGGTTCCTTATTTGTGATTTAGTATTATTTTGTTCTGTAATTATGCTGCTCGAGAATCTATGTATGTATAATAGTGAGTTCTCTGAAACTGTATGCTCAATCACCACTGTAGGGTAAAAAAGATAGATAAATTAAAAAATGGAAGGATTGTTCAAAGTTCAAACCCTGGCCATAGCAACTCAAAAATGTTCAGAATGCAACGACTTTATAAGGAACTAGAAAACCTATGGTGTAAGTGTAACTCCCAAGTTTCAGTTCAAACACAACCTTTTTCATTTCATATTTCAATAACCAAACATGAAATACAGAAGCAAGTGCAACCAAATATTTCCGCATATAAACACACTGGGGTACATAAAATGTGGCAAAAAATCACAAGATTCTAAATGGCAACACTTACCAACTCACAAGAGTGCAGCACCATCACATAAGATGAATAGAAGATGGACCCGTAAATGCCGCAACTTTCTGGGCACGGTGGGCTTCCGACTTGTACAGACCCTTCATTTCTTTCTTCATCAGTCGTGCCTCACGCCGTTCTAATTTCACGGCAGACTGTAAAAAAGTAAATTCCATTAAAGATGGGCACTTTAAAAAAAACAAGGGTTAGAAAAATCTCACCATACCTTCCTTTCTTTCTTTTCCTCCTTCGACTCTTGACACCGTGGCTTCTGTTTCAACACATCACCTCTCTTCTCACTCACGTCCCTCTCGTCTTTCGTCTTCTCTCCTTGCTGCTTCTTGCCACGTGGCGGCAGAAAGTCAACGGGAAGCTTCTCCTTCCCTTTGAGAGCTATAACTGCCCGTGTGGGGTCCACAGATGCACCCGATAATAACTCGTCCGCTAGCTTCTTCTTCCTTCTCCTTGCCTCGGGGGCACCAATTTTCCCTGGATGATTATCGAGTGTCGAGTAGGTGGTGACAATCGTCTCACAATCCCACACCTCAGACTCGTCACTGCTTTCCTCGACTAAAACCTCCTCAAGGTCATTATCATCATTTTCGTACTTCTCCGCGTACTCTCTGCACCGCTGAATCACCTCAGGTGTTGGCTCGGGAGGCTCGTTTTCTTCCACGGCGCCACCGAGACGTAAAAGACCCGATGGGCAGTCTTTGAAAGCACTGTTGAGCTTCTCTGTGAGGATTTCTTGATTGTTATCCTCGTCATCCATGTACCTGTCATATTCTTCTTCTTCTTCTTCCTCACTGTCCGCACCATATTCCTGGAGTTCGAGCTGTGTGTCCAATGGGTTTTGATCAGTTTGGGGTCTCGAGTTTCAAAAAGGGAGTTCAACTAAAAACATATATACATATATATATATAGTTGCGGTTTAAAAGTTTAAATGACACGATTTGAGTCCGCAATGAAATTTATGATGATACTAGAAGCATGGAGGGTTTTCTTCCTTTTGAAGTGTAAAGATTTCACTGGGAAGACAGTTCCCACCAAAAACTCGTGTCTAATATTAGGAGTATTTTTACTGGAATATTCAAAATTATTAAAAGCACAGACCACCAGATTTCAAGAGAAAAAAAAATGATCAAAAGAATCCACGTAGTACAAAATTTGGAATATTCAAAATTGTTAAAAGCACAGACTATAATAAGTACCAGAATTTCAAGACAAAAAAAAAAAATGATCAAGAGAATCCACATAGTACAAAATTTATACATTATCACTCCTATGTTTATAAAAAGTTTCAGTAAACCAACAACAAACAATTAGATTGGGACTAAAACATTATTTTCATTTAACCAGGGACGGAATACACTAGGCCCAACACAGTACCAGAATATATCTTTTTAAAATATTTAGCAATAAAGCTATCATGCAACGGTACCAGAATATGGTGAATAGAAGGGAACTGCTATGACAATATAATGTATCGCATTAAAGTTATTTATTTTTTACTATCAAACACAATAGAATTAATTTATTTATTATACATGGGTTGTACTAATTTATAGTTTTCCTTGATAGTATTGTGTGTTCTTGATCATTATTAATTGGGCCCTTGGATTAAATTTTTAGTTCCGTCACTGAAATTAACAATAGTTCTTAAGAAAACAATGACCATATTGCATAGGAGAATGAATGAAATTGTTACAAAAGTTGAAACATAACCAGACGTACCAAATCAAAGTGCTCATCAAGAGGACGGCGAACTCTCGGCTTCTCACTATCCAAGGCTGAAACATTTCTCTCTCCCTCTTTTGCACCGGAAGCACCCAAATCCCGACTCTTTACATGATCAGAATTCGAGCCAGCAGCAAAAATCAACTTCTCGTCATTTTCTTCACCTGCTGGTCCATCTAAGAGATTTGCGCAAACAACAAAATCCTCTTCTAAGTCCTCAATGTCAGAAGCATACTTTGACGAGGCACCATCTTCCAGCATAGCTGCCACGTCAGGATCCACCACTTTCTGCAATCTCACGCCAAAAGTCTTTGATGCCACATTGTAGATTGATTTCTCTTCAGAAACATCATTTATCTTGGAAATCTCAACCCTTGAAGCATCATAGGCCTGTAACACAAAACAACAAAGTTCATGAATTAATGAAAATACACATGCAGATAAACAAATATCACAAGAAGTACTTACTAGAAATAAAGACTGCATATATTAACACAAGTAACAATGATAGCTTCTTTACATCTCACATAACAACTTGAAGTTTTTTACTTTATCAATAAACCCCGGCAAGTAAATTAAAATACCATTACAATGTCATAAATTATACTAGGATTGTTATAGTTCCACTCTTATGCTGGGTGGCAAAACAGAACAAAGCACAAATTTTGCAATTGAAATCGAAACGGACCTTAACATCCCTTGGAAGCTGAACAAAATCAGCCTTCGGATTCTGATAATATGTCGAACCACCTCCCGTGTTTTTAATCTCCCGTAAATGGGCCAGATAGTTGTATCCATCATCCGGAAACCCAAGTTCAAGAATCTCCTTTCGTACATGGTCCGGCAAAGCATTCGTTTGTGCCTTACGGTTTTGCACTCCTCCAAAGTTTTTGGTCACATAGTCATCATCATCAGAATCTTCAGGGGCATCGGCAAAAATTGAGTCAGGGTTAGAGGTCAAATGGTTGCCATCTGGTCCGCCCTCATTGAACGACTCGGGTGCATAATCATTGTCGTCTACCCGGACAAAAACTCGGTCTCCAGATGGGTCGGGCGAGTAGTTCGGGTCAGATGTGTCCCGGGCCATGAGCTGGAATGTGGCCGACTTTTTCTTGTCGATGAATTTTTTCTTTCTACCCATGTCTTGTAAATATGGCTCCTTTCTTCCTTCCTTGGATTAAATTGAAACTGGAAAATCAAATACCATCAACAGGTAACTAAATTCAGCTTTAAAAAAGGAGCAGAAAAGTGAGACCGCCGGAATAAAGAAGGAAAAAACATCTCAACGGCGACTGGTCGGTCCGAATTAGCAGCTCAATAAATCGAAAAATGAGTTTTCCCAGCTAAATATAACAACTCAAACCATCGAAATAACCAACAAAGGTCATTCTTAACCTAAATTTTACAAGTTCCAAACAAAAATTACAACAGTCAAGTATACTGTGTCCTCAAGAAGCTTAACAGAAGTAACAGGCTTACCTCCTATAAAAATCCGCCGCCTGAACAGACGTAATAGGCTTACCGCCGGTGGAAACTGGAGCTCTGTTGAGAATGGACGAATCTCAAAGGGAAGGGGTGTCTCTAAACCCTACTACCTAGTCGTCTTTAATAACTCGAGGAGCTTGCTACAACTCGAGGAACACCATTAATCTTCACAAATTTCGAGCTTACCTTGCGTCCCGACGGAAAACCGAAGAAATATGGTTTGTTCCCCCACCCGTGCTTGTCTCTACAAAAACTAGGACATAGTGCCCCGTTTTCAAACAAATTAGAATTACAATTCGATGAATCCGATATTTCGACAAAAATTTTGTAGCAATGATTTTACAGAAGATTACTTCGAACATGGAGCTTACCTATCGCTGGAATTACAGAAGATTGCTTCTTCCTCCTCTACCGCTCGTCGCTGCGCAAGAACTAGGGCAAACACCGGTTTCATCAATTTTATATGGGACAAATTTGTAATAATGTGGTCAATTGGAGCTAATCTGGTATTTTGGCAGCAAAAAGTGAGGACAAAATGGGTACCAGATTTTTGGGATTAAGTTATTCATGGGGGAGGCCAGATTTTTTTATCGGCTGGGATAAACAAGAAGACCACGCCAGCCACATAGGCGTCACGTCGTCAAAATCCTGTCCAAATCCTTGTAAGTAAACAGCGGAAATCCCAAGACTATTTTCTTATCTAATCCTGTCCTTCAAAGTAAACGAGGCCTATTAGTACAGTACCGTGCTATGCTTATTTTTAAAATGTACTTTTTGTATTTAAATTGAAAAAATTTTTTGAAATAAAATTTATATATTAGTGACCACTTTCTTATGTATAACATTTTTAAACAAAATCAGAGGTACACGAAATAAAACATCAACAAGAATATTAAACAAAATAAGCTCCAGTGAGCTTATATTCTATGTACAAACACAATTAAACAAGACTATATTGAGGTTAATTCGTGTAGATTCTCAACATGATTAGCTGTTATCTTGGACATTCTTATTTATCATCTTATGTTTAGTTCTCATATTACTTGAATGAGCTGAGTACATTTTCATTTTCCTTCACTAATAATTTAAGTTGCTTTGGAGGATAGTCTCAATTCAGTGGGTCCATAGAGCGAACTATGCTTATTGAACTGTCATTATCAATTTACAGTAATTCTTTTGTCATGTTGTTTAATGGTTAGACGATGGTCTTTAAATAAATAAATGCACTTATTCTTCTAACTAGTAATCACCAGTGCGATGCACGGGGATATTATTATCTATACGCTTTTTAAAAGACAATTTTGAATATAAATTGTGTAATGATGCAATGATCATGATCATAAGAATAGACATATAAACATATAATTAAACTGAAAAGATCATATATTATTGAACACTTCCCTATATACAATATTATTGGTTTGATTATTTGGCACGTCATCTTCGCCACAAATTAAGATTTTTAAATCTTTTCGGTTAGTGACACGGGAGATAGCAACATATAATTGACAATGACTGAATACTGGTTTCTTAAGAAATAAGCCAACATGAGATAAGGATTGTCCCTGGCTCTTGTTTATAGTCATGGCGTAAGAAACCATAATGGGAAACTGTCGCCGCTGGAACTTGAAAGGAATTCTAACATCAGAAGAAGTTATGACCATTCTTGGAATCAACACCTTATCACCAGCATGATCTCCTGTGAGTATCTTACACTCAAGAACGTGAGTGGATAGCTTTGTCATAACAATTGTGTCTCATTACAAAAACCCATAGAATGATCCATGTTCCGCAACATGACTGGAGTTCCAATCTTCAAATACAACTCATGGTTCGGTATTTCGGAACACTTGATACTATTCAAAAACTCAAGCGTATGTAGATAAGACAAAAAATAATTATTATAATCCGATTTGCATGTACTGTCAGAGCTCAAGTACATACGACCATCCAACAAATTCAATGATGTCATGTGCTCATTGATAGACTCGACCACATCCAACGTCGGCGCTAATATAGCCCTATTCTTCAAATAACTTGGATC